AAATTAAAAAAATAGTTTTTTTAATATAAAAATATAAAATATTCCTAAATTTTAACTTTGGAAGTTATTCTCGCGCGATATCAATATATGTTTAGGAAATGTAATCGGAAACACGTGAATAGCTGTGTTCGAGTAAATTTCCAATACGTCTTCCGCAACGCGCTATTGCACATTGGCGTGAAATTTCGTTCCGACAGAAATTAGTTTCGTTCTAGGTTTAAAGGTAGGCAGCACTCTCTAAATGGTGTACCCTCCGGGCATGACCTATTTTAAGGCTCCCTAGCAAACCAGTTATGCCTGCTAATCATTATTGCATACTTAACTTTCGTTGTGCATTTACGATGGCAATAGCTCGTGGCGATTTGAGTTGGAAAAACCTGCAATTTTCGATAATATTACGCCGATAAGAAAATAATGTCAATGTTAACTCCTTCTTGCGTGTCGACAAAACTACGTGGCAACAAACGAAATATCAAACTTGAACGCTGAACGTTTAATCGGAGCGAAAATTACGCATTTTCTGTCATCTTTTTAATTTTTAGCTAATCGGCACCGAGGGCTAAACAAATTCAATAGAGTCGATTGCGCACGATAAATATTGTATTTCGTATATGCAAAGTTTTACACGAATCTTAGATCAAACTCAAGCAGTCACGTTCTCGCCAAAAGTCCTAACAAGCGCCCTTTATGGGGACACATCCTCGATAAGAAAGTTTTTCGCGAGCCGCCGGAATTTGTATTTACCTTCGGCGTATGCCGTGTACCCAGATTATTTATTTTTCCGCGATGGTTACACAGCACCAGAGCAGTGGGGGCTAGCAACGCCACGATTTCGCCGGCCGATGCGAACGTACCGAATCGTTACGTATTCCGCGTCGCGTGGCTCGTGCTCGGAATTGCCAGTTGGCCCGGTTTCGCGAAAGAACATCCGACGAACTTTAATAATCGTTCGAAACTCGAAATTCCACCCCCTCTCTCCGATCTTACGTTCAATTTTGAAGATTAGAGTGGCTTAAAAGTCTCCGCATGTGCAAATGCTTTAAAAATGGAGCTGATCTTTTTCTGAAGAAGAATCAAGTTTTTCACTATTTTGTTTATCTGCGTAAAAAAAGGCTTTCTAAAAATTAAACTTTAAAGATGCAAATAAAAACCGAAATTTTATTCCTCACTAAATTTCATCTCATTCTCTTTAAAAAGCCATTTAACTTATACTTTGTAAGGTCTTTACTCTCTCTCTCTCTCTCTCTCTCTCTCTCTCTCTCTCTCTCTCTCTCTCTCTCTCTCTCTCTCTCTCTCT